GTTGTGTATGAATTTTCAGATTTACGTAGTAACATACTCGGGAGTTTAGTTATTTTTGTTTTACGGAGATGGGGAAGTCGCCTGGAAGATGGATTAAGAACTTGCTTCTCGGGAAGAAATCATCTAAGTCCAATTTGTCAAAAGGAGGAGAAGTTGGTAAGAATGTAATAATTATTGTTCCTTAATATTGTATCCTGAGAATGTAAAATGTGGTTTAAATGATGGCAAGTTGGATAACTTATCTTGTCTAAATGATTATTTAAAGTTTGACTGTAATTGTTTGCCAGTTGGATAACTTATCTTGTATAAATGATTATTTGAAGTTCGATTGACAGTACATTGTCTTTCTAATTTTTATTTTAATTATCATTTGAAATATGCGGCAAAGAAAGAAGAAGGGTTGGTTTCTTCTCAGGTAACAGTATCAGACTTCTCAGTAGCTCCTCAGTCAATTTCAGCACCTATTCCAGCAAACTAGGAACGGAGTCAACTTTGAGAAGGACATATGTTCTGACTTGTGAAATGATGGGGTTAATGTTGCATCTATAAAAAAATGTTGGAGATCATGATGTGAACAGTAATTTGAGTCCCCAGGAAGATTCTCAGAGCCTTAGGCTTGAGCAAGCTGCTACAAAGGCACAAGCCTTTTAGAGGCTGCCTGGTATTTACTTGTGCTTGAAATTGTCTATGAAACTTGAAAGCTACTTAACACCATAGTTTCTAGTATGTTGTGTTGAAACTCTTCTGAATTTCATATTAGATGTTTCAGTTTGCATCATACATTTTGTGCGATGATAGTTGATTATTTTTAAAGATAAAATCTAGTTGAGCTGGGCTTAAATTTATTATTCTGAACTATATATAATTCACAACTTTGTTCCATTGCATGATTGCCAGTACTTTTTGAATAGTTCTTAGTTCAATAAACATAAATATGCTGCATGCTGCTTCTACTTTTTCCATTGTAGAAGAAAAATATTCCTGAAAAGATTTTTTCTTTCAAATGTTGTCTTTTCCAGAGGCTATTTGTACAATTGAACTTAGCTTCTACATGCTGCATATGAAATTTCCACTTGCTGCACACTGTTCCTGCTGTAAAAGAAGACTAATGTAAGCCTTGCTATTTAGACTTCACAACCTTTTGTTGTCTATGGCAATGGATTGTGTGGCGAGTTAGCCATTTGAATAAAGGTGACTTGTCAGAATGGTATAACTATCAGTTTAATTCAAGCATCTGTTTATAGATTCTATAGATTATTGTAATCTGAAAATTATCTACATGCAGATATTGTTACTTTTGATTTGGGTTACTTGTAGCTTTATGGAATTACAGAATCTAATTTCATCTTATATATTGTTTTCCTGGTATTTCGATTTTATATGCATTCCAGCTGATGAGGATATAATGTTTATTTCTATTTTACTGATGCCAACATGATGTTTTGGAAAGGCCTGTTGAGCATTCTGTACTCTCAAGGGCATTATAAGGCTGCAAGCACTGATTCGTGGTCACTTAGTCAGAAAACAAGCTGTTGCTACTTTATGCAGTCCAAGGGGAATTGTTAAGTTCCAGGCACTAGTTCGTGCCCAAAAGGTCAGACACACAGATATTGCTATTGAAGTGCAAAAAATATATCTGATAGCTCTTCTGGTAATTTTTCACCCTTCCATTCATGATTTCTGACAAAAAGATTTGTGGTACTAGTTGTTTATGCTTTTGTGTTTGTTTCTGTTTGTGTTTATCTGTGTTTTCTTACCAGAATAAGGTGAGTTATGTTATTGTGTCAACATTAATGATGGTCCTATGAAAATTTTGAGATGTTATCAGATTGAGGTTAACTATCTGACAAAAGCACTGTATACCTCTACTCAAATATGTATTTGAGGCTTCTGAATTGCTAATTTCTTCATGCCATGCCTTTAAGCTAGCTTTTACTGAATTTTCTATTTTCTGAACAGGTTACTAAATCCTCCAGTGAATTAAGTCCATCAGCTAGAGTGAAGAATCTATCTAATAATGCTTTTGTTAGGAAGGTATGGTCTTGTTCATTTTATCAGCATTTTGATATGAAATTGGGGCCACTTTCTGGTAACTGCCTTGCTTTGAGAAAGAAATACAAAGGGAGCTGTCATGTTAGGCGAATCATGCAAAAAACCCCTTGAACTTAACTATCAGTGGCAGATTAGCCCCTAAACCAAATTCAGAAGCATATCACCCCTTATACTCTTCAACAGTGGCAAATGAACCCTTGTTTGACAGTTAACGTCATTGTTCTGTCAAAAAACTAACGGAGCCTTCATTTAGTGGGTTATAGAGCTAAGCTGACAATTGCATGGCAAGTGGGATCCACTTCAAAATAAATGAAAAGTAAAAATATAATGTACTTCCTAACTTAAACTACACATTATTTTAAATTTACAAAATATGCCACTCTAGTATTCATTATTATTATTATTATTATTTTTTGGTATTTACTATTAGAATGTCCTTGAGTCGATTTTCATGCACCTAGATATTAATTCCTCTTCAAAGAATCTTAAATACCCCCATGTTGATTTGATATATTTAAGGAAATTAATTTTCTTACGTGCTGGTCCTATCTAACCTACAAGAGAATACTTATTTAATAATAGATTCAACTCTTAAAGTTTCTAGTATTCATTGTTTATTTAAATCAAATTTTGCTACAAAGAATCATATTAATATGACTTATCAATCTGGGCATTGGGCAGCAAAAAAAAAAAAAAAAAAAAAAATTGACAATAGAACTATCAAGAAAAATTAGATTGAAAAAACATGTGGATATATTCATTACCTGAGTAAATTAACAATAGAATCATCAAGAACATTTTAACTTAATTTAGCTTAAACATACATGATTTCACCTTTTATGGTTAGTCTAATCCAAGAACCAAAGCAATAAAAAAAAAAAAATGAATGCACAATTTTGATTCAAACCAAACTGTGAATTATCAATGATAAGCTCCAAATCCCCACATATAGCATAAAATTCACCTCTCCTCCATAACTCTATATTCAAACAAACAAGAAAATTAAGCATGAATGACAAATAATAAAGAGTAAAGAATAAAAAAATAAAGAACACTTTTTGGACACAAAATGAAGAATAAAGATAGAAAATTAAGTTTGAATTTAATTTATCCCTCACAATCCACATAAATAGAGAGAATTACCAGAAAAAAGTTGTAATTCTCTTAATAAAATTTGATTGCATTAACACTAGTTAAAGAAAGTTTGCAAAACACTAATTATTTGCTGCAAATAAAAAAAAAAAAAGTTCTAACTCTGCATGAGTAGAAGAACCTAAAATTCTTATTTTTAAATTGTTGTTTCGTAAAATGTTTTAATATTAATAGGTTTGGTGACATAGGGCCCATGTTATTTCCAACTCAGCGGCAAGTAGAGTGAAACAAGAGCACTGTTAGTTTTTTGATGGAACGATGATATCAACCTTCAAACAAGAGCTCATATGCCACCATCAAAGAGTATAAGGGGTGGTATGCTTCTGAATTTGGTTTAGGGGCTAATCTGCTACTGATAGTCAAGTTCAAGGGGTTTTTTGCATTATTCGCCGTCATGTTATTGGCTTTATTGGAAAGTGCTAAAAGCTTGTTATTTATGCCTGAAAAAAATTTCGTAAGGAACATCTAATTATATTCTTGCTCTTAAAAGTAGAGAACCCATGCTCCTGATGAATTTTGACATATCCAGACCTAATACCTATTCCCCAACTTCGGTCGACTTGTTTGCCTTTTGATTGTTATGATGGCAAGAATTATGATATATGAGCTAATAAACTATTAAGCAATTAAACTATTATGTTTTATTGTGTTCCTTCTGCTGCCATTCCAAGCCATGTGTGTGATTATGCATTTCCATTACTTTCAGCTTCTGTCTTCATCACCTACCGTGTTGCCTTTACGGCTTCAGTATGGGCCAGGGGAACCTAATTCAGCCAGGGAGTGGCTTGAATGCTGGATGAGATTGCGCTTCTGGGAACCTTCTCAACCAATTAGGAGTCTTGCCTCAAAGTCTCAGGCGAAGGTTGAATGTAATGACCATGAGCAAGGCAAGACCAAATGAACTATCCAGAAACTGCCCAATGGAAAAGCTGAAAATGGCTCCAATCGTGCTAGTTCAGAGAATGTAAAACACAAATGCAATCCAAGGAAATTTTCCACAAACCCAGCTGATCCAGTTTGGGAACAACCCCAAAATGAGATCAAGAAGGTTGAGCGCAACTTGAGGAAAATACCTGACTCTACAAAGGAGATCTCTGGCAGGGCAGAAGTGAATACTGAGACTCCAAATCAATCTCTAATGAAAACTTCTGCTTCTATGGTAGATGTTTTTGAGGGGGATTCTGCCGAGAAGAGGAACATTGTTAGTGTTGAATCAGCAAAACTATCAAATCTTCAGGCCAGTCCAAAACTGTCAACTGCAAATGATTCTGTTGGAGAATCAAACACTGCCCCTGCTGCAAACTCACTAACTACAAAAAACAATGGTAAAGTTCAGAACATGCATGCAACTGATGAACGGTTAAGCTCCAAGGATGGCATTAGCAGCAGTGAGAACTTGAACACAAGCCAAAGAAGAGTTTCTTTACCTGGAAAGATTGATAATAAAGAGAATGGTTTAGATAGCACACCAAAAGTCCCAAGTTATATGGCACCTACCAAATCTGTTAAGGCTAAGCTCAGAGGACAAGGCTCCCCAAGATTTTCACATGATGTAATAGAGAAAAATGGGTAACCAGGCAGCATTCTCTGCCATCTGCTACCAGTAGCAACTTAAGTTCACTATCACCAAGGGCATAGAGATTGGTTCAAGCATCTGGAAAAGGGGCTATGAGAAATGACAAATCAATTTCATCATCTAGAGATGCTGGTGGTAAGAAAACTTGAGCCCTTTTTCACATGCCTTGTGTTTTTGGCGTGCAATGTGAGTATACTTTTGGATATATTACTTATATATAAGTTTATAAAAGGACTCATTTGTACATGCACTTATGTCTTGATCTGTATGTGCACTTTTGCATAAAATATATTGGTTCTTTGTAATATAAAACATGTTTAGCAGTCAAACTTTTAGTGTTGGTGCAAACTTGAGTATGATATCAAGACTAGAGATTTGGGGTTTATGCCAATTAATGCTCCTTTATTAACTCTTTCTAATTGGCCTTTTAACCAAAACTGAGTATCTATAACTATTGAAGTCAAGGATGATGGCAAAAAAGCGTGGTTTTTCAGAATTCAAAATTTATTTAATCTGAATGTTTTAATTTCCTTAGCACTTTTCCTTCGTTATACGTGGGGTAAATATTGACAGTGTTATCAGCTTGGTTTCTTTTAGTCTGTCAAGAATTCATCAACTATCAATGTGAGTTCATATCTTACAGAGGGAAGATTGCAAGTTGAATATGTTGGCTTTTCCAGAGAGTTGAGTTTTCGTTATATTGTCTCTCAATTGGTTTTCAAATTACATTTGGAGGACACTAGTTGAAAGGAGTTTGATAATTTTATTTCTTTAGTGACTTCACTAAAGGATGTCTCATAGATAATACAGAAGACATGTATGGTGAAGTTCCTGATGGCCAGGTTGGATGAAACTCAGCCTGGTCAACTGAATACCCATTCGCCAGATAAATGCACCCATAAATGGTTGATACCCATTTATAAACGGTGGCATTGGTGTTTTTAAACCACAGGACATTGCTAGTACCGGCAGCAAAGAGGGCGACATTTGCTACTGTGGTAGGCCCTATGGCTGTAGTAAAGGAAGAACAAGATCATTTTAGACTCTAATATCATTTCAGAACTGCTGGAAACTAATACCATTAACCCCGTAAAAATTGCTCTTGATGTGGTGATTGTTGGGCTCAGGGATGCAGGTCTATCTGTCTTAGACCAATAATCTCCCATTGGATCGTTCAATATAGCAATCACCATTGCAGGTCTGCATACTCCAACAATCAAGAGGTCACAGGCAGCAGCTGGACTAATCTTGATATGGTGATATTCAAGATGATCCCTATGCCATTCAGTACCGTTAATTCACTGATATTTTGCTTCCATTTAATGGCCCCATTGGATACATTAATTGCATACGCACAACCTCTACTTCAACTATAAGGGGTCTGGTTTTTGGCTCTGTAAATTAACTTCTTAAAACCTAGAATCACTATGCAGCCACCATCGGAATTTGTTTTATGCAAGGCCAATAATTTTTAGTTCATAGGTAGAAACGATCCCTCGATTCCACCATGGAAAAATCCGAAGATACCTTGGTAGCTCAGCTTAGATTTTGTATTATCATGTCCAAATTAGACTCCTGTTCAATAAAACCGTATGTATGGCGGCCTCTTCATATCACCATTCCTGAAACTAGTAGCAGCATCATTCTTAAGTAATCAATGTCATGGAGGATGAATAGTTGGAGAGAGACATGATCAGTCAACTTTCCAACAGTATTCCTGGCACCATCTTGTCATTTCTCAGCCTAAGAAAAGCAGTGAGAACTAGTGTGCTCTCAACCAGGAGGAAGATTTGGACTACATCTCTCTCAGTCCTCAACTTTGATGCAGACAATATGCTTGGCAAAATTCAGTACTCTGACACTGATCATAGTTTTGGGCCTTATGGCTGGAGGGTTCACCGAGGTGACAAGTTATCATCTCGTAGGAGAAGAAGGCAAGCCTTTGTTGTTTTTGTGAACCAGTTTCTGATGTGTTTTGATTCTGATCAAAACATAAGAAAACTTAAGGTTTTATTCAAATATTTGCTCTGGTAAGAACAGCAGTGATCTTGATAGTTGGATTACTCGTGCTACTAAAAGAGGGGTTCAGGAACTCGATCTTTGTTTGAAAGGAAATATTATAGTGTGCGGGATGATGATGATTATGATGATAATGATGATCCTTCAATCCATTATTTTTATCTTGATGATTGGACTATGAGACCCTTGTGTGGATTGTACGATTTTCCCCATCATTTTCTTTTTGGTGATGGGAATGCAAGAGAAGTAAATTCAACATTGAGGTGCCTGACATTGGAACAATGCAATTTGGCTCCAAAAAAACCTCAATTTTCTTGTTTACAACACCCTCGAAACCCTGGATCTTAGATGGGTAGATTTGAAATCTGATGAACATTTTCAAAGTTCGTTATCTAGTTGCCCTCTGCTAGAATCACCGAGCTTACATAAATGCTTCCACATATCTCACTTGAAGATTAAGTATCATTCGAGTCCTCATTTGAAGTGCTTAAGGGTTCATGGTAAAAATGAATAGAAGCAGATGCAAATCAATGGAAATGAACTGGAGACATTTGAATACAAGGGGCACATAGTAGATTTCTCAATCAGAGAAGTGCCTAATCTAAAGAATGCATTTGTCCATCTTACCTCTTTCAAGAGAGGTGAAAGTGCTCTTTGGACATTTTCTAGGCTTTTAGTCCATCTTCCCCAGCTTGAAAATTTGCGGTTAAACTATTGCTTTAACTGGAAGGTATACATTTACATTTTCTTAGACTATTGCCCATTTTTTTCTTGTATCAACAACCCAATTCAATGCAATAGACTTTGTTTCTTCACTTGCACCCAATAGAATGGAGGACAGAACTTAGAACATGAATTTGTGGAAGGGAGCAGGCATTCACCCAACGGGAGAGGAGAAACCATACTTTCACTCAATTTTCATTCAATATCTTCTTCCCTTTTATAGAGGAAGGCTACACATGAAATAATAATATTTTTTCTACCTAATACAATAACTTTTAGCTAGCTAAAATATTGACGAAAGTATTGAAGTTTACCGTCATTTTTGCAACCCATGTGCAGCTCCATGCTGCTGTCACTTTGCTGCTATAGTGCAGTCATGTTGCAGCATCATTTAGCAGCTCTCATTTTGTTGCATTTGCAGCTTTCATGCCATGGCTCCAACAAAACCTAAAGAAAACACTAAAGAAAATATGATAACAATATGATCCAATACACTATTAGTCATGTAGTTTAGTAATGGATTTACCTGTGCTCTTAACAATACAGTACAAATCAATACAAGACGATAACTTACAATACGATATCTTACAAGCTTAAAGAAACCCAACAAAACATACCTTAAAAAGCAAGATACAGGACAATACAATACACTAATTACAGAAAACAAATGTAGCACTAGTCTATGTAACACTTTCATTTCTCACACATTTTGGTCATACCATTTCATCTTGGGTCACTTGCACTTTGAAATTTCAATACTGATGAGGTAAGATTGTAAATATAGTTTGTAGCACTGTAAGTAGAATCAACAAAGTTGCAGCAAGAAAGGAGATAAAGGCCCACGGATTGTTGAAATACTTGTGCCATAAGTTTGCCTTCCACTTATTCCAGGGTGTTTCATAATGCTTGTTGACATTCTTAAATAACCGGGCATAAAAGAATTGTTCTTTGTAGATATTAGTATGATCTCTGAGCCTGTTGAACAATACCGCAACTGATTCATCATCACCTAACCAATTATCAATTATCCCCCTCTTACAAAGTAACTCCACATCCTTCCCTGAGTTGATTAGGGAATCCATGAGTGCAACATATTCAGTTACGAATGCTGGACATGCAGCGTTAAACTGTTCACAGGCAATGAGGTTACGATACAAACTTTCCGTGTCATCCTCAATTGTCACTTTTGGCATTTCTAGTATCCCTTTTTCAAACTTGCTATCAAATAAGCACCTTTTCTCATTCCCTTGTGTCTCAACCATTTTGAAGTCAATTCCTGCCTCTCTTAGTTCTGTAGCGGAGCGTATGAATTTCCATTTTCCATCTTTTGGCTGCTTACGGTGTTCATCGATTGCATTCTCTGAAGGATACCAATTGGAGAGTAATAAGTCTCCTATATGCTTAACATTTTTCATGGAATCGTCATCATAGGTTGTGTCAACCCTGAGCCCTGGCATTCTCTGTTCAAACCTTTTAAGTAACTGACTGATAAACCGGCCTTTCGGATCTGTAGAACCCTCCAACCGCCGGAAGAACGTTCTTGGGATTATGTCCAACAACTTACATGGTACAAAAAAGGGAAGTTGATTCTCAGCTAGAACCAAATCATGCTCAATGCTTGTACGGATAAGACCGAAGTAGAAGAAAGAATCTTCTTCTAAGGTTTCCATAAAAAACTGAATGATAAAACATCCATCAAGGATCATCATCTCCAGAAATTTTTCCTTCGAAATATCTAAAGGTTCTGAATAACAATTACGAGCTTTTTCCACCATATTTCCTATTTCTGACTGATATATTTGAACACTCTGATTTGTCAATTGAAGAAGCCTATTTAAAGATCGCAACTTTTGTTCTTCCATTTCCTCCAAGTGATCTTTGCCACGATGGTATGGACCGATAGAAATTACATAAGGTTCGTAGGCCTTTTTATTTACCTCGAATAGTTGGTGAGGCACTCTGAGGATTTTCTGCTCTGGCATTGTCCAAGGCAAACTCAGCTTCTGCTCTATGCTTGTGTGGTCATTTTGTATAAGGATTGATACATGGCAACTTTTTTCAGTTTTAGCTATCTGAGAAATTTCCGCCATCGCCTGAGGAAAGAAATCAATTAATTTCTTAATGGAGTATCATGCGATTAAATTTAATAAATAGTTTATTAACCGTGATTTTTTTTAATTTAATTTAAAAATATTTTTTTAAAATTAATTATGTAATATAAAATATATTATTTGAAATATTAAAATTTAATAAGTAATTTTTATTTTTTTTAAACCTATTATATTATTTA